CGCCAAAATAATTTTTCCGGAAAAAATTTTTTGGTACTAGTCGGGCAGAATCCCGAAAAGTCGGGCAATTTTCTTTCCGCCCCCCTAATTTTTTCCTTCCGGTACGCCCATGCTGTTTCTAATCGCTATGAAAGACACTTCAGATTTCGTATATTAAAGTCTCTTCTCAGCTGGTCTTTTCTACCTTTATTTTCGTGAGAACATCCCATGACCGACAATTGGTCGGCCGAATTTCCTGTTTCGTCACTCACAATTTCGTTTTCGATGTGTTTGTGATCACTATTATTAACATTCTCACAATGAATGTCCAGCACTTGAGCAACATCTGACGTATTAGATGTTTGAAGATTTTGATTGCTTTCATTATGTGTATCTACATGTAAAGGTTAAAAATACAGTTATCCATATTACGCGGAATACAACTGGTACTTATAAAGAAAATCTTTGTTTGATGTTGAACTGTATCTCCTCGTGCACAAATCCTTTGTCTCTACTTCATTAAATATTATTCATCATAGTAGCATGTTTCACCTCAGCTACCCATATTGGACATTAGATAGCTTAAGATCTACGACGTCGACGTTAGCTAGGACGTCAGGGCTAAGCAGAGGACTGGGACTACATCAGGACGACATCCTAGTCCCAGTCCTCTGCATAGCCCTGATGTCCTAGCTGACGTCGACGTCGTAGATCTTAAGCTATCTAATATTGGACCCACCTCTACAATGAATAAGTTCAATCACCGTGACCATGCACAACTTGGCAAAAACTCAGACGAAAAATGAACATAATGACTTCTATTTGATTTTCAGAATTATTTTTTTGATATACAGTATTATGGCTAAAGATGGAGTTACACGAGCAACAAAATTGCTGCAACTTGCAACCATAGATATCTTATATACACTAGATAGCGCATCTAATTATTCTGCAATTCAAAAATTGAAGCCGTAATTGCAGGCTCAGGATCTTCCCATGAAATGAGAAGATTCGTATGTATCCTATTTCTTAAACAGGGAACTTAAACATGAAGTTAATCCTATTATAAATACATTTTCAAACTATTTAAATGATGAAAGTTATTGTTATTTTTTAAGCGTTTATTAGCGAGTGGGAAGCTCCAACATGGCCGCCATCTATTCAAATGGGGGTAACCGCTGGGATATTCTTGGCTTCAATTTTACTAAAAGAGATGCGCTATATAGTTTATATAAGATATCTATGCTTGCAACAAAATCTGATTTCAAAGCATGTTAAGTAGAAACGTCGACACATGTTGCCTTGTGACTTGTAATTTATGTGTAATCATTTCTAATTAACACGCTTTGAAATCCGATGTTGTTGCAAGTTGCAGCAATTTTGTTGCTCGTGTAACTCCACCTTAAGGCAACCACATTATGAAATTCATTGATTATAATTTTCTGAAAAAATTAAAGGCAATGCAATGTTCCTGATGAACTTTAAATACTTCATTGTCACACTTTAAATATCTTTATCTAAACTGTCGATGGAAAGCTGAAGATTTTGCTTCCATCACGGAAATTCTCCAGATCTAAACAACGCCTGCGCGTTGTGAGAGTATTTTATCAGAAAGAACACCCAAAAAGTTACCTATTTAAATATATCACAACAAAATGGAACCCGAGAGACGTTGAGAAAGCAACGGACAAGGGTACTATACCTTACCGATAATCTTTGACAAGTCTTTCATCGTATTTTCTGCCGTCGTTTCATCATTTCTATCTCTTGATCCCTCTGCAATTTCTGACGCCTGTTTTTCTGTTTGTGTATATTTTGCACCGTCTAAGTCTTCTTTAAAGTGTTCAGTTACCGTTTGAAACTGATTGTTCTCTCTAAAAGCCTCCCCTAACCCAAGTAATGCCCGTCTTTCCTGTCGCTTATATCCATGCTTCTTTCCAATTTGCAAAGCTTTATTATAGTGTTCAACTGCTGCTTGAAATTTATTATTCGCTCGATAAGCATCCCCTAATTGAACTAATACGTCTGCTTCCTGTTGTTTGTATTCATACTTCTTTACGATTTCCAAACCTTTCTCATAGTATTTAACGGCCGTTTCAACCTGATTGTTCACTCTATATGCATCTCCTAACCCAACTAATGCCTCTGCTTCCTGTTGTCTATATTCATGTCGCATTGCAATTTCCAGAGCTTTTTCATAGTGTTTAATTGCCGTTTGAAACTGACTGTTCATTCTATACGCATCTCCTAACCCAACTAAAGCCTCTGTTTCCAGTTGTTTATATTCATGCTTCATTGCAATTTCAAAAGCTTTCTTATAGTGTTCAATTGCCATTTGAAACTGATCGTTTTCTCTATAAGCATCTCCTAACTGAACAAATGCCTCTGCTTCCTGTTGGAAATATTCATGATCGTTTGCAATTTTCAATGCATTCTTATAATGTTCAATAGCCTTGTGAAGCTGATTGTTCCCATCATACGCATCTCCTAACCCAAGTAATACCTGTGTTTCTTGGTATTTATCATGCGGTTCAGGCTTCTTTGCAATTTCCAAAGCTTCCTCATAGTGTTCAATTGCCGTTTGAAACTGATTGTTCTCTCTATAAGTATGTCCTAACCAAACTAATGCCTGCCTTTCCTGTTGATTATATCCATGCTCTTTTGCAATTTTCAAAGCTTTCTTGTAATGTTCAATCGCCTTTTGAAATTGATTCTTAACTCTATACGTATCTCCTAATCCAACTAATGCCTCTGTTTCCCGTTGTTTATACTCATGTGGCCTTGCAATTTGCAAAGCCTTCTCATAGTGTTCAATTGCCATTTGAAACTGATAGCTCATTCTATACGCATCTCCTAAACCAACAAATGCCTCCGTTTCCTGTTGTTTATACTCATGCTCCTTTGCAATTTTTATAGCTTTCTTATAGTTTTCAATAGCCTCTTGAAACAAATTCTGAATTCTATACGTATGTCCTAATCCAACTAATGCTTCTGTTTCCCGTTGTTTATATTTATGTGGCCTTGCAATTTCCACAGCGTTCTCGTAGTGTTCAATTGCTGTTTCAAACTGATTGTTCCTTCTATACGCACATCCTAGCTCAACTAATGCCAGTGTTTCCAGATGTTTATATTCATACTCCTTTGCAAATTCCAAAGCTTTCTTATAGTGTTCAATTGCTGTTTCAAACTGATTGTTCCCTCTGCAGACACCTCCTAACCTAATTAATGCCACTATTTCCACTTGTTTATATCCATGCTCCTCCGTAATTTCCAAGGCTTTCTCATAGTGTTCAGTTGCCGTTTGAAACTGATCGTTCCCGCTATGTGCATCTCCTAACCCAAGCAATATCTGTGTTTCTTTGTATTGATCTTCAAATCCACGCTTTCTTCCAATTTCCAAAGCTTTCTCGTAGTGTTCAATTGCCTTTTGAAACTGATTGCTCCCTCTATACGCATCTCCCAACCCAACTAATGCCTGTGTTTCCTGTTGTTTAAACTCATGATCCTTTGCAATTTCCCAAGCTTTCTCATACTGTTCAATAGCCATTTCAAACTGATAGTTCTCTCCATACACATATCCTAACCCAAGTAATCCCTGTGTTTCCTGTTGTTTGTGTTGATACTCCTTTGCGATTTCCAAAGCTTTTTCATAGTGTTCAATTGCTGTTTCAAACTGATTTTCCTCTCTATGCGCATGTCCTAACCCAACTAATGCCATTGATTTCTGTTGACTATACTCATGCTCCTTTGCAATTTCCAAAGCTTTCTCGTAGTGTTCAATTGCCAGTTGAAAGTGATTAGTCATTCTATATGCATGTCCTAACCCAACTAATGCATCCGTTTCTTGTAGTTTATATCCGTGCTCCTTTGCGATTTTCAAACCTTTCTCATAGTGTTTAATTGCTGTTTCAAACTGATTGTTTCGGGTATATCATCTCCTAACCAAATTAATACGCCTGTCCGTTTATAATCATTCTCCTTTGGAATTTCGGAAGCTCTCTTATAGAGTTCAATTGCGTTTTGAGACTGATTGTTTAATGTATACACATCTCCTAACCCAACTAATACCTCTGTTTCGAGTTTTTTATATTCATGCTTTTTAGAAATTTCCAAAGCTCTCTTATAGTGCTCAATTGCCATTTGAAATTGACAGTTCGCTCTATGCGCATGCCCTAACCCAACTAATGCTCTTGTTTCCTGCTGTTTATATTCATGCTTCTTTGCAATTTCCAATGCTTTCTCATAGTGTTCAAGTGCCGTTTGAAACTGATTGTTCCTTCTATGCACGTGTCCTAATCCAACTAATGCCTCTGTTTCATGTTCTCTATATTCATGCTCCTTTGCAATTTCCAAAGCTTTCTCATAGTGTTCAATTGCCATTTGGAATTGGTTGTTCCATCTATATGCATCGCCTAACATAACTAATGCCTGTGTTTCCTGTTGTTTATACTCATGCTGCTTTGCCATTTCTAAAGCTTTCTCGTAGTGTTCAATTGCCGTTTGAAACTGATTGTTCCTCCCATACACATGTCCTAACGAAATTAATATCTTTGTTTCCTGTTGTTTATATTCATGCTCCTTTGTAATTTCTAAAGCTTTCTTGTAGTGTTCAATTGCCATTTGAAACTGATTGTTCAAATTATAGGCATGTCCTAACCCAAACAATGCCGCCGTTTCCTGTTGTTTATATTCATGCTCCTTTGCAATTTCCAAAGCTTTCGTGTAGTGTGCAATAGCCGTGTGAAGCTGATTGTTCAATCTACAATCGTTTCCTAAGGAAATGTTTTCATTTGCTTCTTGTTTTTTCTCTCCATGTTTCTTTGCAAGTTTTAAAACTATTTGGCCCATTTTTATAGCTTATAATTGCTGATTCCTTACCTAATCTGGATTTTTTGTCCGAGTTGATCACCCTGATCTCAGCAATGATCTATTTTGTAGAGGCAATTGAATTTTGAACCATTTTTATGTGTTTACTCTTTTGTTGTAGATAATGGCATTTTGGAGCGAATTTTCTATTTTGTCAATTATTTTTAAGAAAATTGTTCAAATGTGCCAACTCTCTCGTCTTTCGTGTTTCTAAAGAAAAAATAACACAATAAAAGCAACATTTTAGAAGCACAAGAACATAAAAGCAACCTCAATTGTAGCCATAGGGCAGATAATTGAAGAAGAGCCTGCCTGAAAGCCCTAGTAAAATTGATCACCGCCCACTTAGTCAATATTCCATATTAACACCGCCCACTTGAAATAGATTGTATACAGCTAGTTCAATTAAGGTTGTCCACGAGCAAAGCGGAGACGGCGAATACGAGTGCGAAAGGCTGCTGGAAATCGCTATGAAAATTCATTAATTTGTTAGCGATTCCCAGCAGCCTTAAGCTTAATTGAAATAGCTGTAAATGATGACATAAAATGTCAATTGTACTAGCCAGCGCAACATATATTTAAAGGTAGGTTAAATATAGTCCCTTACAGTCCCTTCTGCGCATGCGCGGGCTTTGTTTACGTTTTTTGTTTTGATCCACATTAATTATATAAGATGAAGTATATGATGAGTTCAAAGTAACATTCCACATAAATTGTGACCGAGGAGTGCATTGTTTGACAATACTTTGCTGCATTTCTTGTACATTTCTACAGGGTGTCCCAAAAAAAACGAAAACTATTGAAATCAGCAATAACAATTTAATTGTTAGAATTTGAATGCCTTAGCGCTCTGTTGGTTCCCACGAGTGCGTAAATGATTGACATAAGTAAATGTTATGCATAAAGAAACTGTTTAAGAAGCTGTTTTTAATTCCCAGGAGCAGAAAATCGCGCACTTTACCAGGAGATATTCCTAACTAAATTCTAATACATGCACCTTGTCAATATTTTACGCATCATTACGTCCAGCTGTTTGGTAGGGCATTCAAATTTAACAATAAGTGATTTCAATAGTTTTCGGGTTTTTTTTGGGACACCCTGTACACTGGAAATTTTTGTACACAATAACACAATCTTATACTGTAACTGCTTAACTGTAAACATCGTGAATAAAGCCATAAAAAAGCCGCTTTGAACCTTGTGTGACTTGCTATATCAACAGCTAGGGCGGCGAACCGAAATCCCGAAGGTGTGAGTTCGAATAATTTGTGTTTACCTTTGGAGTTTGTGTCTCATCATGAAAGGGTAGGGGTAAAACGCGGAAACGGAACGGACCGGCGGAACCGGAAAAGAAAAAGAGGGTAAAACGCGGAAAAGAGGGTATTTATAGCTCGTATCGTATTGTTTTAAAAGTAAAAATTTAAGTTCACATGCAATGAAACGATGGCGTTTCCGTTTTACAAGCTGAAATACATAGTGTTACATTAAATTGTATTCGCTCGAAATAGCATACTGAACCCTTTCAGACAGTTTGAATAGAAATGCTACGAGATTTAATTAATATAATTTAGACACAATTTTACGGTTGACTTTCAAATTTGAAAAACAAATAAGTTAATTAACTTTTCCACAATTCAAAAAAGGATCTCTCAATCAACTATGTGAATTTTGCGTTGTGTGGACAACGCGTATTTCGTAACTCGTTTCTTGATGTGTTGTTTGCAGTCCCCCCTTTCTTTCTAAGAAGGGACTGCTCGCAGTCTAGGCTGTTTGCCAGTAGTGGCATGAACAATATAATTTGTTTTGAAGGAATAAGAAGAAATCAATTATTGATTTACTATGGGCAATCGTGAAATATAGGGCACGTTTGCTTTAAATCAGTTAATGTTTATAAAGTTTGTTGCTTTAATTTTTTTCATAAAACATGCACTGTTTTCCTTTTCAATGTAGCTGTAAGTGTCTTAAATATTACCCTGCTTATTTTAAGAAAAAATCTTAAAATATAAAGGGCAGCAAATTCATTTCAACACCGAACTAAAATCAGTAAATAATTTTAACTTATTTTGTTTGATTAAGCTAAAACCAGTTGATCGGCAAAAGCAGTTTAGTTCAATGAACATTTCAAAACATTTTGCGAAGCCTTTTTTACACTAAATTAAAGTAAAAAAATGGAAGCTAACATATCTACAGTGTACATTACGGAAATTTATTATTGAGTAGTTAATTTAAAGTGTTCATGAAATGGCTAAAACTTTTTTTTCACAATTGCGCTCGTTTTATAGATTAAACTATGCTGAATATCATCCGCTACTTTATTTTTGCTCCGCGATTTTTTAAAGTCAATTTTTAAAGTCACGAAAGTCAGTAATTTAACTATTTTATTGTCCCTGGGTCTGGACCCGAGTAAAAACAGAGCGTGACGTCACTGGTTGTACACACACGTTTAATTTTCTTACAAACAGTGGAACAGGCAGGTTGTATTGTCGGATTTTAAATTTCTTATCGGGATTTCTACTCTTTTGTTATGTCACAGAGCGACGATCCGTTAAGTTACTCTAGTTTACGGTGTAACAGCTTAACTGCGAGCAATTTAGACGAAAATGTAAACGTAAGGAGCTGTCTTGAACCCCACCAAGGAGAACCATTGGCGAGCACAGATAAATTAAAAAAAAATATTGAATCTTCTGACGAAGAACAGGACGAAGATTCCATTCTACTCTCGATTTTGGAGAAGAGTTTCGAAAAGGTTATGCCTTTAGCTAACTGGTAAGTTCACAAAATATTACAAATCCACCTTATTATGATTTTAATGCTGATTTTACCTGACCTTTGTCGTATTATTTAATACTTGTAGGTGCTCGTGTGGCAACTGTGCTGATCAAGAGCTGGTCAGTGCTCGTGAGTATCGTTGCTGCAAAGAGATCGTAGAAGCAAGTGGAAGATTTACTTGGATTGGCAAGAAAGTTGAGTGTATCTTTGCTCATCCAGACTTTAATGCCATAACAACGAGACGGTTCTACGCGAAGTTGAACCTCTTTTGGGGAACAAGAATGGTAGCTGCTACCGAATAAAAAATGGCGCAGATAAAAAGTAGGTACAGTAAATCTACTTAGTTCAAAACAATTTTGTCCAGTATCAATAGTAAAGCAAGTATTGTTTCTGCTTTTTTCTAAAGATTACTGTGTATTTGTTATACAGGATAACAGATGGGAAATTTGTCTGAGCATGCGCGAGCAAAATGAGCCACGCAATTGCGTGGAATACACGCAACGCGTGTTTACAAAAAGGCACAGTCGTGTAAATATTGCCAAATGTTTGTACAAAATAAATGACTGTTTTATGTTGAAAATGGACATAATCTAAATTAATCATACAGAATTGTTTAGTGACGTTCTATTTCAGTACCCTGCCATTGTCTCTGGTGGGCTGTCCGTGTGCATTCGATCTGAAACAGTTGCTACTTTGCTGTCGAAAAATTTCGAATGTTTACATGAAAATTGAGGCAAGTCATGCATTTTACAACCTAGTAAACTGTATGAGCCCCTACTTTTACGCTTATACCTAAGATATGAAATAAAAATGCATGAAACAGAGAACATTTTTAGAAAGTTTTATCGTGAGGCCACGGCCAGTTTTTAAAATATCTTTATTTCTGTTCCGGTCATCATCAAAATTACACTAAAGCCGGGCTTGAATATACAACAAATTTTGAATCTCATCAAGTACAAAAATATTTAACGTGTAACAAAAATATGCTCATGAAATCGAAATTAATAGCTAAATTTTCAAACTAGACCCTTCTCGAAGCGGTTTTCATGAACGAAGTTCACATTTCGGCCTTTGATTCTTGGCAAAAATTTGACCACAACACGTGCGAAGCAAGTGGGTCTCAAAGACTCAGCTAAAACATTGCGAGCCCCTATTTTCCTGACGATATGTTTGATACCTACAAACGCCGGAAAGTTTTTTCTTTTCATTTAGCTATATATGAAGTTGAGGCCACGGGCTATTTTTGAGAAAATACAGTTCAAAGTCAAGCTATTATTACATATTTTCAAAATTTGTCAAATTTCGCAAGCTTGTATTTTGAACTTATACAGCTGAAGTTACATTAAGAAACATAGGATGGAAAATGTGAGGCATATATAAAAGTTAATTTCAACTTACATTTCATTCTCATATCACGTCTTTCTTCGTTTATTACAGTTTTAAACAAGCCACAGATCGACGTATACGGTATTTACTCCCATGTTCACGTCGCCATATTAACTTCTTGCAATATAATCACTCGATTACAAAACAAATCAGCCCATAACAAAGAATTCATAGTCGAATTTTAAAAGAATAACCGTTAATTTGTAAATCGTTGAATGGAAAGCAAAAAATCGTCAGCTAAAACAGCTTCTTGCTAACTTTCTGCTTTGTTTTGAATGTAAATGCAATGATCTTTGTTTCTGCCCGCGATTTTTGGGTCAGCGACGACAAATTTCCCACCTGTTATACAGGATTATATAGGTATCATCTCATATTTTATAACATTTTATTTGAATTTGTAATGATAGCGCTTTAGAATATTTATAGTGTTTAGCGCTTTATAAATTAATCCCCGAGCCGGCGGCGCGAAGCGCCGTGCGAGGGTACTAATTCCCCCCGGCTATTTACACCTGGGGAAACGAAAGCATTAGGGAAGTCTAAAGTTCATCAAATATCGCGGGCGTGGGTCACTGTGCGTGGGTGGTCATCTTCACTGATCTCAAAAATATGGCGGACTGTCATGAATAGCGAACACCGATTGGTCCAATTTAAAGTTTGCATAAACGACTGCATCACGACAGCGAAATAGCAAACATTTCTTGATTTGATGATTCATGATTGATAAATTTCTTGCGAATATATTTCATTTTTACTCGCATTTTTGCAATATTTTGTAAATTTCAAAAGCTCTTGCAGAAAGAAACTGCGAAAGAATCGGCTAAAAGAAG